GAGATAAAAAGTCGCAATAACCTTTTTTAAAAAATGTTATTCAGGCGAAAACGGGCTTCCATACCAATATACTGCAGAGTTTAGCTCTATCCCTAATAAAATACACCTGAATCAGATAATCAAGGTCTTCAGACTCACTAGAAACGTCCAGGCAAGTGTTTGTCAGGCTAGAGCTAAACTCTGCAGGACATTGGCCCTCCAGGAGCAGGACAGGACACCCCGATTTAGCTCGAGTATTTTAAAAAGTTACTTTAATTTCAACATATTACATCTTGTTGTGTGTATATATATATATAACAGGCTTAACCAGCCGAGGCTGCAGGAGCCCTGTTTGTGTGTGTGTGGCACTCGAGGTCGGGGTATGTGAGAGAAATGATCTGCCTGTCTGTGAAAGTATGAATGCATGTGAGAGTGTGCCAGAGCGTGTGTGTGTATGTGTGTCAGATGAGACACTATTGCCTGCTCGATTAAACCACTAACTTACATTGATCATATCCACATCAAAGTACCTTCCCTAAATCCCGGCCCTTTTTCCAGACATCTGGTGTATTGATATCAATCTGTCCTCTGAGACAGAAATGCTCAACTGCAGCCGATAGTTTTTTTTTCCAGAGAGGAGCTTTTGTGACCCAGCCTTACACACCCAGTAGTGAGGCTGAGAGGGATTACATGCTATAGACATTTTGAGTCAGTAGAGACTTCACACAATACAACTCTGCAATGCATTGTAATGATTTATTATGATGCACAATACAACAATTAATAGTTTGTGTGATTTGAACATTGCATACAGTAACAGATGGCTCAGTACATTATTAATTAACTATTACATTTATATATACATTCTGTAACAAATGAAGTGGAGAGGGATTACATTCTATGAATAAATTCTAGAAAATTAATACATTAATAACAAACAACAATAATAACAACAACAGCACCAGCAATAATAATAATAATATGATTCTGTAGCAGAAAACAATACATTTGTTAAATATATAATATGATTCTGTAGCAGAAGAAAACAATACAATTGTTAAATATATATATA